TAATAATAATAAATGTGTGTATATATATTATTCCTTATGCCTATTCTGTCTTGAAAAGGCCGTAAAAGAGTACCGGTACTCACCGTGTAGATACAGTACTCCTTCTGCACGGGTCTGCGGCCGTCCACGTGAGGCATGAGTTGAGAAATCTTGTCGCCCACCACCCTCTCTATCCAGTCGGTGTCCACCACGTCACGATAGTTAGGGTCGATGTCGGCGCCGTGATGTAACGCCACCTGAGGATGTTTGACGAAACGTCACCTATTATTCCAAAGTCACTGTCACTGTTGTTATAAGCGTCACCGTTACTTCCAAAGTCACCTGCACTGTTGTCATAAGCGTCACCGTTACTTCTAACGTCATCGTTACTTCCAACGTCACTGTCACCGTCTCAATAACCGTAACAATCAACTGTTGTCATAAGCGTCACCGTCATCGCCCACTGACACCGTCACAGTCAATTTTACCAAAACCGACACGAATGGGTGAAGACGGTAGAATACTTGGCTCTACGGAATTTGCCAATATCATCATCATCATCATCATCATCATCATCATCATCATCATCATCATCATCATCATCATCATCATCATTGCCATTCTCGCCGTGGATCAGAATATAGGCCACGAACAAACACTTTCCACCTTTCTCTATCCTGGGCTAGTCGCTGGAGGTCACTCCATGCCTCCCTACTTCTCTGTATATCCATTAGTGAGGCAGCGTGGTGGAATCAGGCTGTCGTCAATTTTTGGGCATGTAGAGTTATTGGTATCATCTTAAAGCTTGTTCACTTGTCTTTATTTGGATGAAAAAAAATATCGATTTATCTTGAATACAAATCGAGATATTTGAGAATGAAGGAGGTGGGGTTACCTGTTTTCAGAGGTAAAATTAGTGAGAAAATGGCCGCCAAAGATAAGTTATTTCCTTAGCTTAAGAGTCCGTGGTAACTGAAAATTTATATTGTTGCGCCTTCAATCAAAGCTTTTCAGAAAAATCCACACAGAAATGAGCTCTTTAATGGGTATGAAAGGCGTTGAGCCACACAAAAAAAGTTTGATAAAAATTCACAAACCTGCGGAAATATTTCGTTCACTTTGATTATTTTGACGAGAGCCTGATTCCATCACGCTGCCTCACATTTCCGAGACTGTTCTCCACGTTCGACGTGGTCTTCCACTAAATCTTTAACCCTATGGATTCCAATCCAACATT